CAGTTTTAATCTGTATTCCTACTATTAGACAACTACCCTGTTTCCAGTTTTTGGTTACAATGAATAGCACTGCTATAAATAGTCTAATACAAGTCTTTTAGTGGACATAGGCTTTCATTTCTTTTGCGTAAATACCAGGAGCGGAATGGATGGATCAAAGGATAGATGTGTTTAATTTTGTAAGAAACTTGCAGGCCTTCTTCCAAAGCGGTCATTCCACTTAGCACTCCACTTGTGACGTTGCTTCACACCCGCTCCAGCATTCGGTGCTGTCGTTTTAATCTTAGTCGTTCTAGTGCAGTAATATCTCATTTCTCTTATGACTAATGATGTTGAATACTTTATCATGTGCTTATTGGCCATTCATATATTTTCTTTTGTAAGGTCATCTGTTTGTCTTTTCATTACTGAGTTGTAGGAGTTTTTAATCCATTAAGTCCTCACATAATGTTGTTGATAGGTTCTTGGAAACTGCTATGTTAACAATTTTACCACAGACTAACTGACATAAATAACAGTTAAGTTCCTACAGTATTCTTCTGTGAATTAATTATCCTATGGTAAAACTGGTAAATGTAGCAGTTTTCAAGAAGCTATCAACAACATTGAGAATTTGCTGTACATTCTGGATATAAGTTCTTTGTTAGAGATATGTGTTGTGAATGTGTTGTCCTAGACTGTGGTTGTTTATGCATATGCTTAATGGTGTCTTGTTGAACAAAAAGCTTTATTGTTTTGGGAGTTCAATTCATTAATAGATTTTATTTATGGTTAGTGCTATCAAAGTCCACTCCAAGAAAGTTTTGCCTACCCTCAAGCTGTGAAAATATTTCTCCTATGTTTTATTCTAGAAGCATAATAGTTTAGCTTTTATGTTATGACCAGATCTATCTCTAATTTGTGAGGTAGGGGTCAAAGGTTCGTTCCCCCTACACAGACATCAGGTTGTTCTAGCCCTGTCTACTGAAAGGACTTTCCCTATTAGGTTGCTTTGGTGCCTTTGTAAAACATCAAACTACTTCACGTTTAAATTTATTTTACTATTTATGTAAACTGTTTTTACTCACACATTCTCTTAACACTCCCTCATATATCACTGAAGGTGGATATATTTTCCTCATTTTATAGTTGAGTAAACCTAGGCTCAGAGCAGTTTAAGAACTTGTCCAGGGGGATACAAAGCCAAGGACTTCAACATAGAACTCCTATTGAATCATAAAAGGTTTACATTTTAAACTTATTTCATCCAGTGGAAATATTATTAAATGGACATATTTTTATATTTCAGCATTGGCAGTATTTTTAGACTACAATCAAACACATGCCACCTTTGCAGGCTTGTGTGTGTCTAAAACAATCTTTAAATTATGCATCTCTGTTTTGAAAGAGTAAAAAATTACAATGCTTACTTCCCCAAATTGGGTAAGAATAATAGCTTTTAGCCAAGGTTGTTTGGACTTTTTTAAAGATAAAGAATGTATTTCCCTCACCCTGGTCTAGAAAGAAAGTCTTACTCTGATTCTTTCTGAGATATAAAGCAATACTTAAGTGTACATCATGAAGATAGATGTAAAATCTAGAAGAAAACACACTTGCCACTCTTGCTTTTCTCTCTCCTACTCTACTATATTAATATTCGAGCACTCAGCCAAATGCTTGGTACCACCTTCTTTTCCACCTCACGGGAAGCAGTTTTCTGGCGACCTTGATCACCTGCTGAGACCAAACAGACCTCAATGTCCCAACTCTCCGGATCACCTGGGCCTGCCCCTGAGTATCAGTCTCCTGTGCCCACCTCATTTGCTCACCTGAGACACACAAATGAATGGCTTGTCTTTATGGTTCACTCCTCAGGGAAGAACCACCTTTCCCTATATATAGAGAGGCAACCTTGTTAAGACCATTGGTCCACAATATAACTATACTTTGGGAACGTCACAACCATTTACATCTTGTAAACTACAAGATGTAAATAGGATAAGGGTCACATAGCTATTTGAAGCCACCTTGGGCCAGAACCCACGTCTTCCTGAGAACTTCATTATTTCCCCCCATACTACATGTCCTCCCTTAAACAGCTGTTAAACCAAGGTGCTCTGAAGTGCGCCGAGCTTAACTACTCCCCATCCAAGACCGACAAACTTAGGCCACGGAGGGGACTACCTAACAACTGTCAGAGGCTAGCCAGTCTGATAGGCTGGCCATTACTTTTCCTTTGTCCTTCATCAAAACAGAGAACTAAAAAGGTATGCCATAAGCTCAAGGACAAAATACACATATTCCAATAGCTATTTCTTACTACAAGAATGTTATGTGATCTGTGTGCGTGTAAGTTCTACCAAATAACACAATTCGGAACCTCCTATAAATAGTGACTATGTGAAAAGCCTAACTGGTGAGTGGTTCTTGATCAGTAGTCTTGGGGTAAGATATTTTCTCATCAAAAAAAAAAAAAAAGAAAAAAAGCAGGAAAAGATTTATCAGTGTCCCTCCTAGTTATCCAAGAGAAATACATTCTATAGTAGTTTTAATGTGATAAAGATACCCTAGCACTCAAACTAATTTTTTCATGAGAGACAAAGTCGGAGGACTCACACTTCCTGATTTCAACACTCAGTCAAAGCTCCAGTAATCATGACTGGACTGGCATGAGTACAGATATACAGACCAATGGAATAGAACTGAGAGTCCAGAAATAAAACCTTACATTTATGGTCAATTGATTTTTTTTTTTTTTTTTTATCCTCACCCGAGGAGATTTTTCCATATTTTGTTCGGATAGAGTGGGAGGGCGAGAGAGGGAAACATCGACGTGAAAGGGACACATTGAGTGGTTGCCACCCGCATGACCCAACCAGGGCCGGGGACAAACTGCAACCGAGGTACATGCCCTTAGCGGGAACTGAACCTGGGTCTCTCTGGACCGCAGGCCCATGCTCTAATCACTGAGCCAAACAAGCCAGGGCTGGTCAATTGATTTTTGACAAGGGTGCCAAGACAGTTCAGTAGTGGAGAAAATAATCTTTACATTTGAATGTTCACATGCCAGATATTTCATTTAGACCTTTCTTTCACATACATACAAAGTAAACTTAAAATGGGTCAAAGACTTAAATGTAAGAGCAAAAATGATAAAACTCTTAGAAGACAACAGAGGTGTAATTCTTTGTGAGCTTGGATAAGGCAATGATTTCTTAGATATAAAACCACAAGCCAGTTGACAAAAAAATAAAAAGATAAATTGGACTTTATACAAATCAAAATGTCTGTGCTTCAAAGGATACTATCAAGAGAGTAAAAACAAACCATAGAATGGGAGAAAATATTTGTAAGTCATATATCTAAAAAGAGACATATCTACAGTATATAAAGGATGCTTACAACTCAACAACAAAAGGACAGATCACCCAATTAAAAATGGGCAAAGAATCTGAATAGACATCTCTCCAAAGAAAAATATAAATAGCCAAAAAGCATGTGAAAAGATATCAATATCTTAGTCACTAGGGAAATGCAAATCAAAACCACAATGAGATGTCACTCAATACTAACTAAGATGGTTCCAAACAGATAACATCACACCCTGGCAAAGAAACACGAACCTGCAAACCCTGCTGGTGAGAATGGAAGGAAGTTTGGCAGTTTCTCAAAAAGTTAAACATAAGGTTACCATGTAACCCAGCAACTGTATTCCTACGTATATCCTCCCCCTGTCAAATTGAATATATATATCTCTCTGTCCACGCAAAAAATTTGTACATGAATGCTCATAGCAGCATTATGCATAATAGCCAAAAAGTGTTAACCCAAATTTCCATCAACTGATGAATGACTAAACAAAATATAGTATATCCATACAATGGAATATTATTTGGCAAAAAAGAAATGAAGTACTGATACATGCTACAACATGGATGGGCCTTAAAAACATGCTAAGGGAAGAAGCCAGACACAAAAGAACACACATTATATGGCTCCACTTCTTTTTTTAAATCCTCACCCGAGGATATTTTTCCATTTATCTTCAGATAGAGTGGGAGGGAGGAAGAGAAATAGAGAAAGAAACATTGATAAAAGAGAGATACATTGACTGGTTGCCTCCTACACAACCCTGACCAAGGCCGGGGACCAAACCACAACCAAAGTACGTGTCCTTGACCGGAATCAAACCCGCAACTCTTTGGTCCATAGGCCGACACTCTAAGTGCTGAGCCAAACCGGACAGGGCATATGACTCCATTTTTATGAATGTCCAAAACAGGCAAATCTATCCCTGCAGGGAATGGGAATGGGGTGTGCTGATTGGGATGTTCAGGGTATCTTTCTCAGGGTGATGAGAACGTTCTTGGTTTAGATAATGGTGACGGCTGCACACTTTTGTGAACACACTAAAACCACTTATTTATATCCTTTAAAATGGAAAATTTTGTGGTATACGAATTATCTCAGTAATATTCATAAAGGACAAGCATGGGAGACTTTAAAGTTTACCTAAACCAAAAACAAAAACAAGAACAAGAACTGAACACTTTTCTATCATTTTAGTTTTATAAATACTATGTTTTTCTTCTTCAACAGCAATAACCATTATGATAAAGATAGTAGGTACTTATTAAGCACTTATTAGGCATTGTACCAAGTACTTTGTACTTGGTGTTCTCTTTCAAATCATCTCAGTGTCCTTGTACATAGGGGTTATTATCCCATTTTACAGAAAAGAAATTGAAGCTCACAGAGGCTGAGTAATTTATGTAAGATCATGGAAAGGTAATTAAGTCTGACTCCAGAGGTTCTATTTCCCATTTTGTCTTCCTTAAAGCAGTGACTATTGGTCTCCAATATTGTTATTTTTCAATGTATTATGTTGTTCTTTCTACCTCCAGTAGCTAATTTAGTATCATTTCAGGCCCAGTGTTAAATAATGATCTTTTGTCCCCAGTTTGTTGATTACAGGGCAAAGACAGAAAAAAATTCCCATATGACAAGCTTTTATTTGTATCAAATTACAGAGTACCATAAGTAAATATAAGATTATGATTTGAATATTATAACTTATAATTTGGCAAGTCATTTAATTATCCAAACTTTATTATATATTTGATTATGCAATGAAGACATTATTTGGCATAACTTGGCAAGGTAAATATTTATGTACCTTATTTGGCTATTTATTGTGTGTATATATATATATTGTGTGTATATATATATATATATATGGTATATCCCTAAATTAAATATACTTGTATAAAAAGCTAAAGATTGATGTGTTAGGATTAATTCCTTTAAAAATATCTATTATATTAAATTGCATCTGCATTCAAAGCAGAAATGTAAAAAAACCTGATCAATTTGCTAAATACACATGAACTTACAAAGTAATTGAAAATGAAATAGTTTCTATTGAAATGTTATATTCCTGTTTAATTGACATTTAAGCAGCACTATCACACTATGGAAATAAACATCATATTTTACTTTGTTGAGAGAATAAAGATTCTACTGAGCATTACTAGACCCTCTAAATTAAGAATGAACATTATTATATAGGAAAAGCTGGCAGATCAGTTTCTTCTTTATTCCTGCGGGAATTCTCAGGAAGCAGTCGGGGCGGCGTCTGTGCTCCCGGCCTGGGCCTCCCGCTCTCCGTCAGTGGAAGTCCGGCTTCTCGGGAAAGGTGCAGCCGGTCCGCCGGATTATGACGCTGGCTGCATAGTGGCCAGCACGAATGCATTCCGTCAGGGGCTTGTCAGAGACCAGCTGAGACAGGAAACCTGAAGCAGACAAGGGAAGATCGTGAATATGAGGTAACAGCATCAGAATGTCCCTGGGTCAGACCACAGAGGATCTCTATACCACCCCTTTCTTCAGTCTGTTGGGGAGGCCTTCCTCAAACATCATGAGGTTCCCCTACTATTTCTTTTAAAGAGCTCAGGTTGGAAACATGACAATTAACTTTCTAAGCCTAACCTATCACTTTTTCCTTTAGCTTTGAGATTAAAAGATTGTGAGTAAAAAACACTGGCCAAATAATATATTCTTGGGTCTTTACAGCCGAGGAGTTATCAGTGATTTATCCTTCACTCTCTCTCTCCGGACTCCCTCTGTGCTGTTGTTATTCCTAGCGTGTTGTCTCGGACAAAAATTTTATCATTTGGATGTTTCTCCAAGTACAAATTTGAGAGCTGAAAAGCTATGAAGGCCCTTACATCTCCCGTTCACTCCCAGAAGTAAGAGTGAGAGAATTTCTATAGTTCAGCATTACAGACCAGCTTGATAATAAAATAAATGTAAAAAAGTAGAAAACAGAATTGAGAACTTCTGTTTTTGACTAAGACAAAATAAAAGGAACTAGACTTACCTTTCTCCAGAAACAATTAAAATAAAAAGTATATGAAACAAAGTTTTTCAGATACTGCACATTAGTCACAATGATCCATAAAAAAGGACAAATGAGGAACAGCACGGAATAGCTCTGCCTGTCTGCCTGGAGCTACCGACAGCGCAGGGAGGAGCCACCGCACAGAGCCCGACCGTCTCACTGGTTGAGAAGATGGAATGGGAGTCCAAATAGGGCAAAATTAAACATGTAGGCCGACTGTCAGGAAAAAAAAGCTATGACATAAATCGCCAATATTGGGAATGAGAGGTGATATCACTATGGAGTCTACACCTAAAAGGATAATAAGGAAACATAATATTAACTTTTTATACCACTAGATCTGACAAGTGGATAAACTGGACGAATTCCTGGAATGACACAAACTATAAAAGTTCACTCAGGAAAACATAGATAACCTGAATAGCCTTGTATCTATTAAATATATTGATTTCATAGTTTAAAAGTTTCCCATAAAGAAAATTCCAGGTCCATATGGTGTCACAAATATTTAAGGAAAAAGTAGTAAAAATGCTACACAAATACTTCACAAAACTGAAAAGGAGGAAATACTTTCCAACTCATTCTTTGAAGCCAGAATTATTCTGATACATAATCAGAAAAGATGCAAATATTCTGAAGAAAATGTTAGCAAATTCAATCCAATAGTATATTTTAAAAGATAATAAAATCTGACCAGCCCTGTCCGGTTTGGCTCAGCGGTTAGAGAGTCGGCCTGCGGTCCTGAGAGACCGGGTTCGGTTCCTGCTAAGGGCGCGTACCTCGGTTGCAGTTTGTCCCCGGCCCTGGTTGGTCGTGCGGGTGGCAGCCACTCGATGTGTCCCTTTCACATCGATGTTTCTCTCTCTCTCTCTGTTCCTCTCTCTCCCTCCCACTCTACCTGAACAAAAAATGGAAAAATGTCCTCAGGTGAAGATAAAAAAAAAAAAAAAAAATCTGACCAGGTGGAGTTTATCCTAGGAATGCAAGTTTACATTAAAAAAAATCAACCAATATAATTTACCACATTAAGAAAACCATAAGATCATCTTAACGATGCAGAATAAGCATTTAACAAAATCCAACATCCATTGCTAATGAAAACTTTCAGCAAACAAGAAAAGGAAACTTCCTCAACCTGATAAAAGGCACTTATGAAAAACTTACAGTTAATATCATTCTTAATGGTCGATGAAGAACAAGGCAAGTATGTTTGCTCTTAAACACTGTACTTGAGACTCTAGCCAGTGCAATAGGCAAACAAAAAAAATAAATGAAATGCATCAATATTGAAAAAGAAGTGAAACTGTCTTTATATGCAGATGGCAAGGTTGTCCATGTCTATGGTTCTCAACAGTGGGCAATTCTGCCCTCCAGGAACCATTTGGCAATGTCTGGAGAAAGTTTTGTTTGTTACAAGTGGGTAGGGGTACTACTGGCATCCAGAGTCCAGAAATGCTGCTAAATGTCCTACAATGTCAGTAATGCCAAAATTGGAGAAATCCTGGTCTATGTAGAAAATCTTATGGAAAATTAGTTCCACAAAAAATTACTAGAACTACTAAGTTTCAGGGTATAAGACCATTATATAAAAACCTGAATTTCCATACTAGTATGTATGTATATACTAGCAATGAACAATTAGAAATTGATATTAAAAATACTATTTACCACCCTGGCCGGTTTGGCTCAACGGTTAGAGCGTTGGCCTGCGGTCCAGAGAGACCCGGGTTCGGTTCCCACTAAGGGCACGTACCTTGGTTGCAGTTTGTCCCCAGAACAAGTTGGGGTTGTGCAGGAGGCAGCCACTCGATGTGTCCCTTTCATGTCAATGTTTCTCTCTCTCCCTCTCTTCCTCTCTCTCCCTCTCATTAAAAAAAAAAAAATACTATTGACAGCCCTGGACGGTTTGGCCTAGTGGTTGGAGCATTGGCCTGCAGACCAGAGAGTTCTGAGTTCGGTTCCCGCGAGGGGCACATACCAAAAAAAAATACTATTTACCTTACCATAAAATACCCTAAAAAACCTAGGGATAAATCCAACAAAAGTGGTGTAAGACCTTTACACTGCAAATGACAAAATATGCTGAGAGAAATCAAAGAAATCTAAATAAGTAGAGGTACAAAGTGTTCATAGATCAGAGGATTCAATATTGTTATCCGCTCTGCCGAAATTTTTCTACCGATTCAAATACCAATAAAAATTTCAGCAGGATTTTCTTTTTTAAAAAAATCTTTATTGTTGACAGTATTACAGATGTTCCCCCTGTTTTGCCCCCATTAACCCCCATCTCCCTGCTCCCACTCCCTTCCTGCTTCCCCAAACTACTGTCTGTGTCCATTTGTTATACATATATGCAAATAAGTTCTTTGGTTTATCTCTTCCCTACCCCGCTACCAGCAGAATTTTCTTTTCTTTTTTTTTAGAATTTTCTTACAGAAACGGATAAGCTGATTCTAAAATGTACATGGAAATGCAAAAAACTTAGATCAGTCAAAACATGAATTTGAAAAAGAAGACTACTTGATTTAAAAATGTATAGAACCAAAATAATCGAGACTCTATGGTATTGGCACAAAGATAAATAGATCAATGCAACTGAACAAAAAGTCCAGAAATCTACTTCTATATGGTCAATTGATTTTTGACAAAGGTATTGAAGCAATTCAATGGAGAAAGGACAATCTTTTAAACAAATGGTCTTAGAACAGCCATATGTAAAGAAAACAAAAACGTCAACCCTTACCTCACATCGTACAAAAATTAACTTGAAATGGATCACTGATCTATTTAAGAGCTAAAGCTAAAAAACAGAAAGAAAAAAAAAAAAAAAAGGAAAAAAATTGTAGTGCTTTTGAATTTACCAAAGATCTTAAGACATAAAAAGTACAAACTTTGCCCTGGCCGGGTTTGCTCAGTGGTCAGAGCCTCTATTTCTAGGTATTTAACTTGAGGTAAATGAAAGCACATACCACACAAATAATTGTAAATGAACGTTCACAGCAGCTTTATCTGCAGTAGCCCAAACTGGCAACCACCCAGCGGGGATGAGAAGGGGCAGGGGGGCAGGGGGCAGGGTTACAGAAGAGCTAGCTGGCTGTAACGGCTGTGTCCAGAGTAATGGTTTCACAGGTGTATACACAGGTCAACATTTGTAAAACTGTGCACATTAAATATGTGCAGTTTTTGGTATGTCAATTATACTGCAATAAAACTATATAAAAAAGAAAAGTGTTGTAGTACAAATAAGCTACATCTTATTAGGTAGGGTCTGGGGCTACTTCCCCTCTAGGGGAAACCTGAGCTGCTGTAGCAGTACTCAGATACGCAGAACAGATGATATGAGAAACTGTTCTGTACCCAGACTTCCAGGCCTTCCCCCTAGGCCCCGGGAAGCCTGGGGGTGTGGGGGTGGGTGAAGGTTAATTGAGAAGCTGTGGTATAATGACCTGTAGAGAGCATTATAAGAGATTTATGTCCTTTCTCTTCTACCATTCTGACCACACAGGCTTTTTGTCCCTGTTAGATTTGGGAAATGCTCTGTATCAGATAAAATAAATAAGTATTCCCAACCAAAGAATAAAATTAATTTGGTAAACGGAATGATGTATTTTGAAGACATTTGCTTAGAATGTGAAATCACCCTCTCAAGAGGTTTAGTAAGAGCATTTTATCATTGAGTTTTCAGGTAACAGTCAAAGGTCAATATTAACTTTCAGCCAAACTGTGAGACTAAATGCTCAGCCCACCCCAGTGAATGGAGCAGATGCCAAATTCAGAGTCAGATCAGTTTACAATGGAAACACGTCTATTAGAAGCCTTATAAGCAACATCTGTTTTCCTCATTCCTCCTGGTATAATCTTTGTGAGAAAAAGAAAAGCTCATGTTTATGAAATATTTTTTGTGAAGTGTAAGCACCAGCATCCTCTTCCTAAAAGAGCAGCTAGCTGATGACTGAAGTGAAGAATTCTGAAGAGACATTTGCTTTGACAAGTGGAAAACCTGGATGCAGAAAAAAGCTAAGACCTTTGTCCCAGGTGAATATCAGTTTTTCAATCATCTATTTTTAAAAACCAACAGAGATGAACTACAGATGTCATATAATCCATTATAAATGGAACCTATAGCTGATGTGAATCTTAAAAGTTGTGCAAAATGGTTTAAATAAACAAAGGGAGCTTATAATTAAAGAATCATAGAGAACCTTTTATAATATAAACATCCCTAAGATAATTTTCATTGTGTAAAATATACATACCCTAAAATTTACAATTTTAACCATACAATTCATGTCATTAAGTATATTTTGCAATGTTGTGTAACTACCACCTCTATCAATTTCCAGAACTTTTTTCTCACTCCAACAGAAACTTTATACTCATTAAAAATAACTC